GGCTCAATTTGCGTCATCCAACTTTTTCATTTCCATACTTGATGCTACTCGTGTCACGACCTTTGGACAACAGTTAATGGCGCGCTCTAATCGCAGGGGAGAAATGAAAAATCAAGGCGGAACCAACTTTCACGCTGCTCCTCTGCAAAACGCCGTTTTTTTATAACACCCAAGTGCTCTTCTCTCTCCAGTAGTGTTACTCGTTTTTTAACTCGCCATGGCTCTAGGAATTATATAAAAATTTCGTCCTTCGACCAGCGAAAGTAAACAATAACAATTTCAGTTGAAATGATCGCTTTTTTAAATTTCAGGCAATCTGCTCGGCCGATACGTATAAAATTCGTTCAAAGTCAACACGCGCCGATTGGGAATTAAAATTCGTGACCAGCAGAGTGAAAAATTGATTCGGTGAAAATTCAGATTTATGGCCACGCGTTTGCTCTCACGGCGCAGCGGATTAATAATGAAAAAAAAATGGCGAGTGCTCTAGGGAAACACCAGCGCGATTTTTCGACTGAATAAGTTTCGGGCAAATAACGATAATGTCTAAATTCTCAGGCAGCTGGTTGGACGAGCTGAGAGTTGTTTTCAGTGGTAAAAAACTCTTTCAAATTATTTCACGCCTAGATTAATCTCCTCTCTCCACAACAAATAGCGCTACCTCATAATTTCTGAATTTCAGACTTTTGCTACTCCTCGCTCGCCTCCGCCGCCGCCTCTATCTAATCTGGTTTAATTAAAGCACTCGGCGGAAAATAAAAAGCGTTCTTTAAATTTCTGACGGTGGTTTCGTCCGCCTGCGGCCAGCATAAACCTGAGAGCTGATGAGGCTGCTTTGATTAATCTCCGTCATGGCCGCTTCGATTTAAGTGTACCTCAGGGGATGAACGCGCAATCAAGCTTTTCCTACTGACCAACAACTAAGACATTTTTTTTTTAATATATATGGTATTTTAAAAATTCATGCTCCGGGCGAGCTGAAAACTTGCCCAGTGGAACAGTTTCCCACCTTCTGTAAAGCCAACCTGTGACAAAATTTGTAGTGATAATTCAAAATATTAGTCAACCGAGGCTGCGGTGGATGCATGGAGTCTTTTTGATCTCGGAAGTTCATTCGGAACATTCATGCTAGTGGTGCTGCCATTTTTTCCAATAAATGATTTTTTTGTAAATAAATTTTTATCAACAATTGAATTAAACAATGTGTTGTAACGATGTGGAAAAATAAACAACAATAATAATTATTTTTGTAATATTACTTAAGAATAATAAAAAAAAGCAACTGTTTTTGTCCTCGAAATGAGAAAAAAAGTTCATTGAGCTTTCAAAATATTATTTAAAATATTTTATGGCAAATTATAGTTATTTTGATTATTTTTTATGGTGCTTATATAAATACCATTTTTATCTTTCCTTTTTTTAAACAAACTAAATAATATTTATGCTTCTTGTTTTTGTTTTTTTATTTGCTGAAAAAATAGTACTGCATAAAAGTTGTTTTTTAATCTAATCATCCCCAAAGGATATTTTTCTTTTGAATAAATCAAATCAGACGAATTTTTTTAATTGATGCCATGGAATTGAAAATGCTCCTTTGGATGGCTATAAAAGTAGTGAAATGAGGAACAAGCAAGCCCTCTTTGAACACCATCATAACTCTATTGTCCACATTATTTTTAGCAGTCAATCAAAAGCTAAATGAATGTTGATTAATCCACTCGGTATCAGAAGATTGTGTAAATTTTAGCATGTTTATTTGTGATTTCCCTCTGCTCTGCAGCCTCTGCTATTTTTAGTCCGAAATTCATTCACCCTGCAAAAAGTGAGTTATGAACTTGCTACTACCAGCCCTTAGTTTGCCTCGCCTTTGTCTGATAAATCGAGAGCCTCGACCCGCGCACACACACGCGACACAACACACAGACCGCATTTCGTAATCATATACTACACGTCATTATACAGAATAGAGGAGACTCAATAAAATATTACGCAACGGCCGCAGAACAAAGACAAAAGGCAAATCTGACCTGCTTTAATACATAAATAATATTTCTCCCGGTTCACTGAATTTATATATCAGATCCTGCGTGCCGAAGCAGCAATATTGCGGCCCAGCCAGAAAGGTTTGTTTGTCCTCTCTCTGCTTTGCTCGGAACACATATTTCCGTAATGTGTGCGCGTTTCGTATGGTCGTGCCCGCCACCGAACGATAGCGGGCAGTCATAAATTTTTACTGATTCCGCCGCCGCTCTTTGTGTAATCCGCGCGAAAGGATTTGTGTTGGAACGGACGAATTGCGGAACGGCTAATCTGTTTTTGATGGTCAAATTACGCATTTTGCGAATGCTGATATACGTGCGTGCTGCTTTTTGTTTTTTGCATTTGCATTTCACATAATACATATCCGTCTCTGTGCGCGTGTTTGTTCCGCCGCGCTCTTTTTAACAAAATCACTGACGCATTTTGATGAGTGCTGAGCGAGCTGATTCAAGGCTTTGATTCGCCAATCAAAGCAAATTAATTCAATACATACCATTTTTGCCACTCTAAATATCCCTCTGTGCATGCAAATCAAAATGTCAAATTAAACGTGATCCAAAATCTGTAACGATTAAAATTAAAAAAAAAATTTATTTATTATATTTTTATAAAACATTGTCGCCAATCTTAATTTTTTACTTCTTCTTTAATAATATTTAGTAATGTATTGTGTGGATTGATTGGATAGTCAGATAAATCTTAATACAACTTGTTTTAATTTGTGCGATAATTTAACAAAAGATTGCAACAATAACCATCTTCTCAATTTCTATGAGGGCAACGAACAGGTGCTGGTATTCTGCTAAGATTTAATCGTTATAATTTTGGTCTCAATAATTTAAAAATATGCTTTATAAAAAAAAAATTATTTTTCTAAATTTAATTGAAAAGCAAATTAATGCAGGTGTAAAGGCAGGGTAATAAATAATATAATTTTTATTTAATCTAACAAACATATTTGTAAATTATTTCAATGATAAGTATTTCAGAAAACAAAAATAATTTAATTATTTTTAAATTAGGTTAAGAATTAGCAGTAAAATTTTTGTTTATAAACATATTTTTTTACTTTTTTGAGAGGTGATTATGGAAATTATGTATTAATTTTTAATAGCTGCTATGCACTTTAATGTATCTAAAAAGAATGCCATGAGAAATGTTCTTATCTAGAAGTTTCTTTTTTATCCCTAATATCTGCAAATTCACTTTAAACATTAAAATAATCATTTTCTTTTGGTGTTTTCTCAAGCACCACAAATACAAGGTATGAAGAAATATAAATGATCAGGATTTATTTTAAGCAATGAAAAATTAGAGCACTAAAATTTTGCGAATTTTATTGTTGAAGAATTGATTCCAAATTGACTTTGAATTTGCAAAAAAGGGATTTTTAATGCATGAAAAATGATATTTAAAAAATTTAAAATATCATCTTCAGCTAGGATATTAATCGCTCCGTTTTTTTTCACTCATCACGGGCACCATGCTGCGCTTCGGAGATTACTTTTTTTGAGGTCATCCCTTCAGCAATCTTCCCCTTCAACAACAATGGACATAAGCCAGTCGGCTCCTCTTTTTGCCTCGTCGCTCCAGAAAGGGATTTGGCTGCGAATATATCATTCCTCTCGTCATTCAAACATATATCTCTGGGGCCAACTAAACACTGCCCTGAGAGACTTTGAGAGCCGTGGTCATTTTCAGAAGCGTCTCTTTCTGAATAGAAAGCAATTCGCAGCTAGGCGGAGACGCGGAAGAAAAAACGTTCCAGCACCGGCTGCACGTTTAATTTTCCCAGGCCAGACAAAACACACACACGAAAGGTGGTGCGGGTGATTAAGGATCATCCGGCGGGCCACACGGCGCGTCTCGTCGGTCAACAACAGCGAGCGGTCCAGATTTGTGACACTGCGGCTTTCACGCACTCGCAAACCGCTATTACTCTTTCCTCGGCGAATCCGCACGGACGCCAAATTGCCTCGAGGCCGGCGATTTATTGCGTTTCGTATCACTGCCCGGATAAAATTTAATAAGAAGCTGACGCGCGTCCGCCGAAAATGGCCTACTGATAGCCTCCTTGATATATGAAGTCGCTGCTGATGCGAATTTTTTTATCGGTCCGAAAACTATCGAACAACTGAGCCCATCTTTAGTTGATATGAATTGAGACAGAGAAAGTTACAGGGATGCGTTATTTTTACTTCACAAACTTTCTTTTGCAGGAAAGAACTGAAAAAGGAAAATATATATATATATATATATTTTTTTTTTATTAAAGGTAAATCAATTTTGTTTACATTAATTCTGGAATTCCACATTGATTTATAATTATTATTGGTTAAGATTATTTAATCTGCCGGTAAAAAGAAAAAAAAATCACTATTTATTTTACATTTTTTTTATCAAAAGTTTCAATCTATTAATGCAAAAAAATCTCAATTTCCACCCCACATCAAACTTTTAAAGGTATTAGCTGAATTATTAGAAAATGGTAACAACACAACTAATTAGGTTAATTTATTTTATAAATTCCAACGTGAACTAGTAAAAGCGCTCACTTTTATTCTTTTTTTTTTTAATTTAAAAAAATCGATTGCACCGTTCATGCAAAACCGCACATGCCACAAGATCAAAGTTATTTCCAGCATGCAATGCAGTTCGGTTGCGCCGGTTGCATAATTTACAAGCTAATGCTTCCGTGGCCTAATTGTGCCGGATTCGAGGCGAATCGTAAATTCGAATAAGAGAGCGGCCACTTTGTTTGTTGATCCGGCAAAGTGGGCTGCTCTTGCAAATAGTTGCTGGTCGGCACAAGAGTAGAAGAAGGAGAGAAGATCATGCACGTTAAAGGGCTCGAGTGTGTCTGTGTGCAGATGGGCGAGAGTGTGAGTGTGTGTGTGTGAGAGAGAATATGGTGTTGGTGTGCTTCGGTGTGATTTGAGACATTAGGAGGATCGGCTTACCCTGGTGCTCTTGCCCCTCTTGACCACCGAAATGCTGCTGCAACTCGGGGAGGCGCACTGTGGAAAAACACGCGGCTCAGATTATGTTAATTCGTTCGGCGCTGCTGAGAGCATTAAGTTTAATCTCTCTCGCTGTGTGTGAGTGTCGTGGAAGAGAGAAGAAGAGAGAAAGGGGGTGGTGGGCGGACTGCAGGGAGAAACAGCACAATGCTTTTAACTTCTCCGCAGCGAAAACAGCAAAATTGAAATAAACCGTTCCAGAAAAATAATGTTTGAAAAAAAAAAGAATGCACAGCTCTTGTGTCTGCGTGTTTGTGCCGGCAATCGTGATAATTATACGAAAGAGGTCCACGACGAATGTTAAAAAATGCTGTTTGCAGGGGTGTTTGCTTCACACACACACACACACAAAGAGACAAAGGCATGCAAAGGGGATGAGAGAATGAGCTAGAATCGCCGAAAGGCAAACAGAAAGGAAACAAAAAGATTGATGAGCTCCGTGCATTTTCCGAAAATCGTGATTTACTGAGTTTAATTACGTTGCGAGCGGCAATCAACAAAAAAGCTCTCCGGGATAAGAGTGGAAGTGGACGTCAGACGAGAGAGCACTGCAGGAAGTGGCCATTCCTCCGGCCGGGCAAAAAAAGCGTTTAGCCGCGATTTAATTTATGTATGGCCCTCGCCCAAAGAAGCGTGTCAGAGCTTTGGAAAATGTCCAAGGGAGCCGAGGATAACCTTTTTGGTGGTCAACTCGTCCTCCAAATGTGTGTTTTCCGATCCACAGGTTAAATATAGAGGGCCTAAATGAACACTCTAATTGAAATTGTTTTGATCAAGAGCGACTTTCCCTCTCGAATCAAGCAAGCGTTCAGCAAAATATAATAATCTTTCAGTTGGAAATTATGTAGAAAATTGGTATTTTTCTGTGAAAGGTGGAGAATAACAAACTTGAAAAATGTTTTGATTTCTAAATAATTTTCAAACTTTCTGATTTTTAACAAATCATGAAATTTTAAATTAAGGAATTTAGAAAGTCATTAATTGCTTTAAATTATTTCTTTTTTTGCTGTCTATTCTATTTTCAGGTTTTATATTATTTTATCCTTTGCAAGTTATTTTGTATGCTATGGAGGTGTTTATAATTCTATAATTTAGTACATAATTCATAGTCAACCAAGAATATCAGCTATTTCAATTTCTTTAAATTTTAGAGATTGCATCAGGAGACAAATCCTATATTCTATTGTTTGTGACGAAAGACAATAAATTACAATTTCTTTCATTACATTTAATATTTTAATAACATTAACTAATGAAAGAAAATGGTTATATAACAAAAGCGAAATTTCCTAAAATTTAAAAAATTTGTTTTAAAATCAATTATTAATTTTTATAACTTTAACAAACAAATAAAAATATTAAAACTATGAAAACAAAATTTAATTATTATTTTTATTGTATAAAAACTTTCAGAATACTGCTTTGTCAAAAAAATTAAAAAGGGAAAAATCTCTACATATCATGACAGAAATTTTCTCTATAAATCAATTTTTCGCATAAATCGACGAAAATATTTTTCTTCCGTTTCTATGCAAATGCAAGATCTTGGAATAAAGTTTATCTACGCGTGGCATCCTGCAAAAGCGTCTGCTTTTTAATCCGCTTACAGTTCTAAATAGAGGACTCGGTCGTCTCGCAACAAGTCCTGCGCTCGTTCACCACGCCGAGCTTTTCGCAAAAAAACACAATAAAAAGCGTCAGCACGGAATCTTTTTTGCTTCTAGCCGCGGCGCCTCTCTCAAAAAATTCTTTGAAACGCCCCTCGAAAAAATAATTAAAAGCCCGCCCTTTGACATCGGAAGCGCTGAATAAAAAAAGAAGAAGAAGAGCGTGGAAGGACACACAAAAGTGGGAACTAGGCTGACTGCCACTCAACCGCACTTTTCCAGTGGATATTTTTTTTATATATGCGCATTATGTGTGAGCGGCAGAGCCGCACAAAAGGAAGAGAAAAGCTCGACGCGGTGAAAAGGTTGGAAATACTTATCAAGCGGACGGGGGCGAAGGGTGGCTCAAGCAGCGGCGCCCTAAGTGCTCAGGTAAACAAAATAATACCCGCGGCAAACACCAGAGCTTTATGTCCATCCACAGAAAGAAATTCCACCCTGAGAGAGAGAAAGATTAGAATCTGCGATCCGTGAATTTTCTATTAGCCCCCCCGGCTCTTTATTAATTACCTCCCCGTTGAGTAAATTTCGCACTCGGGTGACAAACGACAAACAAATTATTTGTCCTTGATCTTTGAGGCGCGAAATGCCAGGGTCGGGCCCGAAAGTGTAGTGCCCCCCGCAAGAGAGTTGTGCATTGCCCTAGAAATAAAATCGATAAAGACAGAGAGCAGGCAAAAGGCTTCTCTCTTCTCGTCTTGGCCGCCGCACGGGCGCGTGTATATATGTTGTGGCCTGCAGAGACAACGGGATGCATTTTGCTCGGCTATAAAAATGGATTTCGCTCGGATTGCCAGCCGCCTCCCTATTGCCCTCATTTATTTTTTATCTCCGGACTGCTCTCGATGCGCTCCTTTTAAATAAATTGGAAACACGACCTCTTTTGCCGCCGCACAATATATGCTTATTTTTGTTTTGGATCCGAGCGAGTGATTCCGCTTGCGTCAAAGGAAAGTGATGCTCGAAATTGCTGCAAAAACGAGCACTCGTTCTTCACCCTTTTTTATACCACGGGTTGTACGGCCAGGTACATTTTCCCTAGTGAAAAAAGAAGGCATGAGAGACGGAGGAAATTCTCAGATATTGATTGGAGCACGCCAGAAAAGCACTTTGTGTGGGAAAAATGTGTTGTCTTTTCTCCTCTGATATTTCATATTCTCAATAAAATGTTGTGCATAATAATAATAAGAAGCAAGAAAGTCTCTCGTGTGTGTTTATTTTTAGAAGAGAGGCTACTTGAGACGGAATATATCAGCTTTATAAATAAACGATTTTATTGACAGAACTGCTGGAAAATTCTATATAAATATTTATTATGCAACAAATTATGTGCAGTGACCTTAGCCTATTTTTTCCTTTGAATTATAATAATTATGGAGAACAACATTTGATATTCAAATCTTGGTCGTTCACACCGCAATCGTGGTGTGCGTATAAGTAGGAGAGGATAAATAATTCAAAACGGAAGCGATAGGAAGGAAATCCGTCAAATTAATTTCCACGCGGCCGCCGCTCATCGTCCGCGATAATGAGGCATTCCGATGGAGGTATTGATTCCAGCTGCGGCGCTGGTGATCAATGGCCGCACATAAATCAGGTCTTTGTTAGTTCGGGGAGACGCGTGACCGATATTTTTTTATGCAGAGAGATTCGCACCCGTCGCAGTCTAGACCTCCGATTCTATTCAAAACACGGCACCTCTGGCATCCTTCCAAATATCATTACAAGACATTTATGTCGCTAACCTTTGACCGCGCGCCGGTCACCCGAGCAAGTTTTTGTCCCACTAGTCAGGGTGGCTGACATTTGTCGCACTAATTGTCAAAGGTCGCCGTTGGCTAGTCTCTTTTGGTCTTTTACGAATTTGTCAAATGTGGGTGTATTTTTTTTTATAATTTTATATAAATATCGTTTCGTCCGGTGTTGAGTGGTGTGCTTCGGGAACGCGCGTTTGGTGCCTGTTTTAATTAATGAGAAGCTGCCTGTTGGAAACCATAGAGTGTGCAGCGAGTCCGAAAAAAAGAGTCTATATTGTTACGTGGTGCGAGCTGCTGCTTCGGCAACACGTTATTGTGACACAAATAATATACAACACAAGAGACAAATTATATAAGTATACACGGCTGCTGATCGCTACATTGACGTTTATGTATGTAAAATTGTTTTCTGCATGCAGTGGATTGAGGTGATATTTAAATTTGCATAGTAAAAACACCGACAAGCAGTTTAATTTACACTTTTAGGTGCGTGTGAATTTCAATAACTAATTGCCGTTCTAAATTACTAAAGCTTCTTTAAACACACATAAAAATAGCTATTTACTCCAACAATATGATAAAATTAAACTTGTTAGTCTATTTTATATAAAAATTTTATGATTGCCATTTTAATTAATTTTATTTTGAAATGTTATGAGCTCTCAATTAATTATTTTTGAACCGGAAAAATAAAGTTTTTTTAATCTAAAACAAAAAATAAATCAATAATTTATATGTAATTTTTTATGTCTGAAAAAAAGGCAAACCTCTAAAAGCAATTTAAATATGAAGGAAACATGATAAAATTACCTTAAAATCCTTCATTTTCATCTCCTGTCGGCGTGGGACGCCGTCCTCACTGGCGTACACCAGGTTGCGGATGCTGCCGCCGAACCTGGGCTCGAAAATGACACTGGGCAGCGCCAGCAAGGTCAACCTGGTATTGTACCAGCTGGGCATGCCGCCAATGAAAACGTCCGAATTGGTGGCCAGGTTGCCGAAGTGGAACTCCTTGCCCCTGGAGGTCTTGCTCTGCGTGACCTGGTCGACGGTCAGGGAGGTCCGTTCGTGCCTCCTGCGCACGTGCACCTTGTGCCAGTGGCCGTCGTGGAGGTCCCTGCCGACGGTGAGCATCTGGGCGCCGCCGCCCAGGTTGTACCTGAGGCGGAGGGCGCCTTCCACCAGCTTGATCTCGAAGAAGTCGTAGGTGCCGCCGTCGTCGGTGTACAACAGCAGGCCGTTGGGGTTTTCGGTCTTGAACTCAAACTCGAGCGAGCCGTTGAGTCCGGCGTTCCATTTGTGGAATTGCGCGTACGACGACTGCGAGCCTTCCAGCACGAAGCACCTGATGCACGAGTAGGACAGCACCGCGAGCAGGTACACCAGGGTGGCGCGCGCCGCCGCCATCTTGCCCTCCCTGAACCCTGAGGTCTACCGCACCGCCTTCATTGGGAGATTTGCAGGAAAGTAACGCGTGCCGCGGCTGCTGCAAATGGAGTGTTGGCGCTCGCGAGGTCAAACTCACTACACCGAGTGGCGGCAGCTCGGCCTGCCAGCCACCCTCGGCACCCCCGCCGCACCCCTGCAGCTGCGCACTGCCGCGGTGGCGCGCGCGATCAACATCTACAGCTCGAATTTATTGCCGCCGAGGCGACTGCCTGTCTGCACAATTGTCTTTTTCTCTTTGCTCTCCCATTCCAGAGCGCCCCTGCAGCCTCCAATTTTGAACCTGAACATATTAAAAGAATTCTATTATAAATTGATATATAGTATAGAGTATAGAGAGTTATTTTAAACAAACATTGCATCTCATGTAAGCACTATGCTTAGTAAGCAGTATATCAAATACCTATTATAATTAAAAAAAAAAATGATTGTTAAGATGAGGAACGCTAAACGCTATATATATTAAATAGATTAGTCCTCCTTTAAAATTCAGAATGTGTGTGCTTTTAAAATGTCGAATGAAACACTGGTAAAAAGCTAGAACTTATGTGTCTAATGAGCTGTCAGATGATCTAATAAGTACAAATAAAGAAGATAAAAATTCGATAATAAAATAGCAAAGGTGTGAAAATTGAAAAATTTTGAAGCACACATATTATTTATAATCAGATCTTCTCAAGGTACGTGCCGCCATATAGTAGATAAATAATGTTATAAATTTGCCAGTATACTCTGAAAGTCAATAATTTGCTTTTGATTCTCTTATCTGCGCAGAGCATATTTGGTCAATCTAACAAATGCGCTCTCATTTTTATCAACTCCGAATCATCTTGTGGCTATAATTTTTAATCGAATTTCGTGGCATCTTTAAAGACGCCACGATTTTATAAAATTGTATAAACACGTGAATATATCATTATTTTAAATGATGTATTTTATACATAGATAGTAATTTCCTGATAGCATATCACAAATAATCATACTTTTTTACCTTGTGTAAATTTTGTATTTTTTGTTTTTTAAGCTGCACGAAGTGGTTGGTGAGGGCCTCATTTTGAAAATTGAACAATATTAGATGGTTGTTACAAAAATTTATTATCGCTTTTTTGCTTTTTAAATATAATTCAGAATCAAACAGTATCATTCCAATTCTTTCATTTCAGTGGTCATAATTTTGAATGAATTCTAGGTGCAAATGAAACCTCACAAAAAAATCACCGTGTCAAATCTTCATTTGTACATATTTACTCTATTAATTAGAAACTCCAGTTCAGCTCAAGTTTTTCTTTACTTTTTATAAATCAGCCTTTTTGCTAGTCAGTTAAGGTAGAGCGGTTTTTACTAGTTTGCAATCATTTTTTTCTGATGGGTCTGCACGTTTAGATAGAGTATTTAATTCTTTGATATAAGTACAAAGTACAAAAAAGATAAAAAAATAATAGGCCTGAAAAAGCAATAAAGAGATAATGAAATGCTTTAAGTACTCGTGGTTTGCTTATATTCACGCCAGATTCACGCATAAGGTAAAAGGAGGAGGTGCATTCATTAAAGACCGTATCAACCTTATTCACTGGATCACAAACTAAAAAAGAGAGCGGCGTCCAATTAATTAGGATTTTTGGATTTTGTGAGTATCAATATAATTAAAAAAATATATTCTATACTTTAAAAATAAAAAATGATAAAAAATATCATTTATTCAAAATCCATAACATATTCTTCCAAACGATATCACATTCAAATTGATGTGGAAATTTTGCACTGCAAATAACATCTCTCTTAGTCAATTTTTAATTTTTGAATAAGACTATAAACGAGAAAAGATCATTGAAATTTTATTGACAAGCATAATTATATAAGATCTTCAATTAAAATTTTGAAAAGAAGTCTGTTCCTTCTCCCATTGAATCCCAAAATCAGTTCAGCATGTTTTATAATTGAAAGATGAAAGATGAAAGTGATAGATATATGCTAGAATTTTTATCAAACTATAGGGAGAGCTAGGTAGAGACTAAGGCTACGCCCCCTTTGGACGCTACCGCAGCGCAGTTCTGGTGGAATTTCATTCGAAGCTTGTTTCCGCTCTATCATTTTATGTATTCGATCCTTGCAAGCCAGCTCGGAGGGGGAGTCTTATTGGAGGGGGACGTGGCCAAGACGTGGCTTTCGCCTTAAGTTCTCTCTACTTAAGCCCAAAAATCAGCTGATTTAGCGTATCGCACAACACATCATTATATTATAAGAATTTTTGAGTATATAGAACATATTACCAGGAATACGCTTCATGGTAAATATTATGTCCAACGAATAGCCCATTCACCATTCAATGATAGCAACCCAGACGGATGGTCAGATTGTCTTTGTAAACGATTATATAACTCGTGTTCACTCCTGGCCCCCTTATTGTACACGCACTCACAGCGTGCACAGCTTCCCACATCGGCCAACGCCGTACTCTCTGTTCTGCTATTTTGGTAAAAAAGAAATTAGCTCGGCGGTCAACCTAATTTTTTTCGCTCAAATCTCAATATGATAAGGTTAGAATTTTTTTAATTCACTTATCAATTTCACGTTGAATTATGATTTTAGCATATCCAGATAAAAAAATATATGTAATCATAAATTAATTTTTATTCTCAATTGAAATAAGATTGTTTGTAGCCATACATTTTTAAAGTATTTTTTTAATTAATTGTTAAAAGTAGCTTCAGATGCCATCATCCACATGTTATCCGCTGTTCATCTAGCTTACTAGATAAAAAACGGATAAAATATGTAGAAAAAATTATGTGTAAATTTATATTTATTGTGAATTTTCTCTTTTAGATTTGATAACGGGGATGGCCACCCAACTATCAGTATAGAATTAAGGGGTTTTAAAAATGGAAACAAACGACGTCTTGTCGTTGCAAACAGAATATGCTGAAGAGCAACGTCCCTCAACTCAAAAAGGTAGAGAAAGATATTTTAAATCTTTTATCAATCATGCACATTATAATTTTTTTTCAGATAGCAAACTGCACAAGGAGCATACCGTGGCAAATCTATGTTTTTATGAAAATGAAAAAAATAAAGAGTAAAACTATTTTATGAAGAAAATTTTAAATTGAAATTATTTTCACAGCGTTGAGGCCTGCATTCTAGTTGCTAGTTATGAGTTTAAATTTGATGATGTACTGCGCCGAGATGGGAATGAAATTGATATTGCCAAATTGAGGAATAGCTTCGAGGAAAATAGGAAATGTAAATTCAAATCACTGGTTTCCCCGACAGTTGAGGATCTACTGGCAATACTCTCAGACGAGGAAAAATTGAAAAGGGAGTTTAACATTGCAGGTAAGAGTACACTGCAACAATTTATTGTAATATAATATATTTTCATCTATCTTACATAAAATTTAAAATAACTGAATAGGCTATATGATGTATATTATTTAATTTCACTTAATATGTGAAAATAGAAATGAAATTATATGCGTTTCTTTTTTAGAAATTCCATCAGTTTTTTTTCTCTTTATCTTATCGCACGGAGAGGAAAACAATATCATTTTGACAGACCACAAGGATGAAAATGATGAATACATTTTATTTAAGACAACTCAGGTCACTGAAGCAATTAAACAGACACCAAACTTATGGAAGCAGCTCAATGTCATTTTCTTTGGTGTAAGAGTTTATTCATTACCATACTTGTCAGACATTTTGCGCTCGCGCTCAACGAGATTCTGCGCTCAGCGCTCGCGCTCGCGCTCAAGTTTTCAAAAAATGTGCGCTCGCGCTCAAGCCAAAAGTTTGCGCTCGCGCTCATTGTTATTTTTTTTTCGATGAATAATACCTACTAATTTTTTTGTTTGGGGATAGAAAAATAAACATAAATTAGTCTGAAAAACGCTTTTTGAGAAAGAAAAAAATAATTGTGTTAAATTTACACATTTTTGTGAAAATTCTTAAATTTTACATCAAAATTTGAATAATTTATTATAAATCATTGAGCGCAAAATGAGTGCAATTGAGCGCCGCGCTCACGCCATCTGCGCTCTGCGCTCGCGCTCGTTCTCATGCACTCAAAAATTTTGCGCTCGCGCTCTGCGCTCAAGCCGTGAGCGCAGAGCGCGGAGCGATTTGTGCGCTCTTGACAAGTATGTTCTTTACATTATCTTGAAATATAAAAATAATAAATAATCGTGTATAATAGGCTTGCCGTGGACAACTTAGTGACCATGAAAATCCCATGGAATCAAAGCCATACCCATACAATAACAAAGCATCTAGCAGGGTGACAAATATGCCTGGAGCACAGAATTTTGTACTAGTCTATTCCACAGTTGAAAGTATGTACTATAAAAAAATTGAAAACTAAATATCTCAAATAATATTCATATTATAATTTTAGCAATGATGTCTAACAGACATTCAGAGAATGGCACATGGATGGTTCAAAATATTTGCTTGCAATTGGACACACTTAGGGAGGATGAACCACTTGAGACATTTCTTAGCAAGTTCCAAAACTCCATTCATAGGAAGCTAGCAGGAAAAGATGGTCAAACGCCCGAGGTTAAATATACTTCGCACAAGAAACTTTTTCTGCGCAGGTACCAAACCATTAAACAAAACATTGGATATGCCTATAAATAATTTGGTTTCTTGAATTTATGAAGAGCCTTAAATTACGAAATAAGTGGGAAAAAAAGTGGAGATTCAAAATCCCGCACAGAAGAGGTGGTGTCTCTTGAACGGTTTTCGTACTTTCAATGGTGCAAAGAAAACACCGGATTAGACAGATTTTCAGAAATTCGAGGAAGATGGGCAGTTATTTTCAGCAATAAAACATTGTGCCCACTTGCTTTGCGTACAGAAGAAGCCCTGCGTGAAAATTTAAATTTTGAGACTGAAATTCTCGAATGTAGCACGCAAAATTTGCATGCTCTTCACGAAAAAAGTAAATTTTATATATTTCCATTTTCATATAATAGTTTATTTAAATTTATAACCTTGCAGTACAAGGTGAGCAGAGCTACGTTGGCTGCTTCTTAGCAGTCTATTTCGCGCCACTGACTATGGACAAAGATGACGAGGTTTGCGTTCGAATTGGGAACAAGCCTGTCAAAGTCGGAGACTTGGTCTACAAATTTTTTGGGCCTGCAAATTCAAAGTGGATTGCGAGGCCAAAATTATTTTTCTTTGTCAACCAAATGGATTTTTCTGACACGATTTTAACAGTGAGTAATGCAAAAATATAATGCCCACAATAATTTATGGAAACCTTAATAACGTCTACATCTTATACTATTAATAATTTTTCCACATTTTAAAATAATACCTTTATGAATATGTGAATTCTGAACACATCAACGGTGTTAATATCTCATTTTTAACTATCATCATCTAATTTAATTATTTAAATTTGCGTTATATTAAAGATATTCTAAGCTACTGAAAAGTTAACCCGATATTAAAAATTGATATAATGGGAAATTGAAATCTCTTAAATGTAAATAAAAACAAAACAAAAAATATTCCAATATATAAGCTTACATTGATTATCAAGTTGTATGATTTTCTAAAATTACAAATTCATATAAACAGGAAAACGCTCCACTCAAATTATCTGGAACAAATCATTCGGGCTCGCTTGTATGCATTCTCACAGCTGTTGGTATGATCCTTTATATTTTATTTTGTGTAAAATCTGTATTTTTACTAATTTGCAGAATCAGCGGCAAAACTTATTAAGCTTTTTGAAAACAAAGCTTTGCACGGTAAGGCAAACATTCTTGAATTGAGTTTGGAACTTCTCAGGGAAGATCAAGATTTGACTGGCTCAGTGATTCCGCAAATTTCAACCACCCTACAATATTTGCTCGACTTCCCAAAATGGCCTAGAATCTTCATCGAGCCATCATTTTCCGGAATAAAATACAATCAAGATGTAAGCGATGTTGAAAAAGACGGAGTGATGGTCACAAATACATACTGGAAACTCATTAACAGAGAGTCGCAAGAAGAGAGGGAAATAACATTTAAACAATTGAAAGACAAGTTTAAATTAAAACTTTTAAACGCTGTCAATGAGGAAAATGCCATTTGGATTTTATCCTCCCACCCTGGCACGGGAAAATCCAAGGTCCTTGAAGAACTGAAATTCTTCTTTACGTATACCCAGAAAGAAAAACATATTATCAGTATTCGACTCCCAGAACATTGTCTGTTTTTGAAGAAGACACAAGAGCCTACGGTTGAAGGGCTTTTGAAACAAGCAAGCGAGTTCAGTTTGCATGTGGATAAACTGTTGGAGAGCAAGAAACTAGTGGTTCTGATTGACGAGTTTGATGAAGTTTGTCCACTATTCCGAAGTAAAGTATTGAGATTGATTTTAAAACTAGTCGAGCTTAAAGTACCTCTAGTCGTTGCAACTCGACCACACGAGGAGGAATGCATCAAGAAAACTATTGGGAACATATATTACAAACTAGAAATTAACTCATTCAATGAAGAACAACAACTTGAATTACTGAGGCAAATGCGCATGATAGCAGATAAAGAACAGAATTTGAAGATTCTTCAAGAGATCAAAACATTTGGAACAGCCGAAATCATCAAAAATCCTCTACATTTGGTACTTTGTGTTCAGTTTATGAAGAACGACAAAGAAAAAAAAATTGCAAACTTATACCAGCTATACGAAGGTGTCATTATTGAAATGATTGAGAAAGCTGTGACCGAAAAGGGAGGAATTAAAGAAAAAGAAACAATTGCCTTCATGGAAATGTTTGATAAACTCGAATCATTGCTGCAAGATTATGCAATTCAAACAATGCTTAACAAAGAAGATCGAAAATGGAGCAATGATGATATTAGAAGCATTAATAAGACTGGCTTGGCTTATATACAAGAAAATTATTCAAGATTTGTGCACAAGACATTTGCCGAGTTTCTTGTGACCAAAAAGTTCATAACAGACTTAGATGAAAAATCAACCTTGGACATTCATATCTTTTCAAAAGAAGATTTCAGACAGTGCCGGTGGTTTTACGATTGCTTCGTTCCAACTGCAACTACAAATCATTTGTCTAGCCTCCAAAATTATTTAGAAAACGTTCCAAAAAAAAATATCCTCACAACGATTTTGGATGAAGGACTTTGGAATATACTAGAGTTGATAGAGCCACATGTCCTATTTGAAGAATCTAAAAGACACCAAGCGCAACCACAGTTTGAATCAGAGGAAGAGAAACTTTTATCCACTGACAGGCGAGAGCTAATAAATTATGTAAATCGCATGACTCGCCTCGGACCTCCAAAGTGGCAGGAAGAAACGTGCGAACCTAGCCAAGACGAAATGCAATACAGGATCTCATATTATGACATGTTAAAAATTCTTTGCAGAACTAACGAGGACATGGCCATTCGATTTCTGAGAAAGCATGCTAACCTGGTTAGACAAGAAGAGGATTGGTTTGATAAACTTTCCAATTTAATTGAAATAATGGCCTCTCAAAATTTCTCGAAATTATTCCGTCAACTACAAGAAACGTTCTCAGATGTAAACGAGGCTCTAAGGCTCACCAACAATTCAATGGCATTTTTGGAAGCAGCTAAGAGTAATAGCATCAACATGATTGAACTGCTTATAGAAAGTGGCATCAACGTTAACATTCAGGATGAAGTTGGAAAAACTGCTCTTCATTTAGCGATCAGTGAAAGACACTATGACTGCGTTTTGAAACTTCTCGAAAATCTTGCATCAGTCGATGTACAATGTCATAAAGGGTTGACTCCTCTCCATGCAGCTGCAAAACATGGACATGCCCAAATTATGAGGAAACTTCTGGATAGCGGTGCTAACCACCAAATAACGGATATAGATTCTTGGACGCCTTTGCACACTGCAGTGCGCTATGGAAAACTGGAATGTGTTAAAACTCTTGTCAGTTATTTCGAGGAAAAATGCAATCAAACGAATACAAATAATTTCATATCCGAAATGGACTCACGAACAAGATGTGGCATGAATTGCATTCATGTTGGAGCTCTCTATGGAAAATTAGAAATGTTCAAATTTTTGATTGAAAAAGCTCCATATTTACTTGATTCAAGAACAAATATGGATATGTCGATAGTTCATTTTGCAGCTCTCAATGAAAACTCGGAAATTTTGTCCTTCATAGTTCATCTAGGTGTAGACGTTAGATCTAGAGACAAAAAGGGCTGGACCGCACTTCACAAAGCTGCTCAAGACGGCACATTTGAGACATTAAAGATTTTGGTGGATTTTAATCCGGATGTCATGAGAGACTTAACAAATGAAAACGTCACTGCCCTTCACTTAGCGGTTCATCACGCAGACGTACGACTGTGCAAATATCTAATCGAAAATGGCATCAATGTTCGTGCGGTAGACGATTTGAGACGCAATCCTTTTCATTGGGCCTGTGAATATGGTAGATTGCCAACCATTCAATACCTATGGAGGCAAAAGTGCTATAATATGAATGAGAGGATTCATGATGGCAAAAGTGCACTGCATTTAGCAGTAAGAAGATTTGATGGAAAGAGCGTTATAGAATGGCTTATTAAAGAAGGCGCTGACTATAGATCAAAAGATATATTTGGGAGGACCCCAATCCACTATGCCGCTGGAGGAGGATTCTTTTGGACCTTGCAGTTTTTAGTAAATCTAGATAGTGCTGTCCTGAAAGATTTTTCAAACGATAAATCGAATGTCCTTCACTTCGCAGCTCGTCATCCAGATTCACGAAAGTGCAAATATCTCCTCGAAAAGGGCGCTGACTACAGATCAAAAAACATGGATGGTGTGGCACCACTTCATTTTGCCGCTAGATATGGAACATTTGAGACATTTAATTTGTTGTTGGATATGGATCCTACAGTTGTGCATGACTTGACAAAGGAAAACGATAGTATCATCCACTTTGCAGCGTGTAATGGAGATACGAAAATCTGCAAATTTCTTGTCACAAACGGAATTGACACGCTCTTGGTTCAAAAAAATGGTAATAACGCACTGCATAACGCAAGCAATTTTGGAATATTGGAGAATGTAATATACCTATTGAGCCTCAAATGCTACGATATCAACAGCAAGTCAATGAATGGTAAAACTGCACTCCACATAGCGGCCGAAAGGAACTACACACACATTGTTAAGTTGTTAGTAAAAGAAGGAGCCGATCATAGGTCAAAAGATAACAACGATTGGACCCCACTTCACTTTGCCGCTCGATTTGGAAGCATTGATATGTTGAGGTTTTTAGTTGATCATGATTCTGACGCCTGCAGAGATTTGACGAATTATAACGAAAATGCTCTTCACTTAGCAGCTTGTAACAAAGATGTGCAAATGTGCAAATACCTCAACATAAATGGAAGTTTTGATGCCTTCTCGGTTGATGCAAGACAATATACCGCTCTGAGCATAGCAATAAAGTTTGGAATCGTAGAAAACATTGAATATCTCACAAGTTTAAACAACGTAGACCCGCACGGAAACTTGTGTTTAACCGACAATGAAGACGATGATGCTACTTTTGCAACTTTGGGTGGACCAGCTGAGGTCTTGAAAAATTTGCTCCGTTCAAAACACTTTGACATTAACCGTAAAAACGAGAAGGGTTATACACCGCTGCACTACGTGGCAAAAATGGATCATTTAGAGGCCACACAGTTGCTGTTGGAAAATGGTGCTAATATTGACGAACTTGAATGGAACAAATCTACAGCTCTAATGCTCGCCGCTCGTTTTGCATCTGTAGAAATGTGCAAACTCCTTGTGGAAAGAGGAGCTGACCTAACTTTAATCAACGAAGAAGGCTATGACGCTCTCTGTTATGCATGCGTTGGACAAAAGAGGATAAACGTCGAGTATTTACTCAGTTTAGGAAAGTTTGATTTGGAAAGAAAAATAAAAAGATCATTCACGGCACTTTTTATACCAGTTTATAGCGGTAACGTGGGAATAGTAAAGTTGCTTTTGGACAAAGGAGCAAATGTTAACGCCAAGAACGATCACCAATCAACTCCATTGATGATTTCAGCTGAATTATCAACAGTAGAAATGTGTCAACTGCTAGTAAAAAATGGAGCTTTAATGTATGAGGTCGATAATGATGGTGATAGCGCCCTACATTGTGCTATTCTTGCTGGAAAATTAGAAAATGTCCAGTACTTGGTACAGTTAATTGAAGATAAAACTACGGATGCATATTAACTTTAAGAAAACTGGAAAGGTACAGCCCAAACACATAATGAAGGATATTACGATTTTACTAACTAATTTTTAAAAGCGATTTCCAACGTGTTAAGAAGACGGTAATGATATTTAAGAAATCGAGGGACGCTAAATAACTATATTAATAACAAAAAATTCATTGAGCCTACCAGGACGTGTGGACATCGGAATCGTTATAATTTATAATCTACTTTCCCCCCCTCAAATACCATTTTAGTTGTTTTTGATAAAAGGAAATATTATGCAAATGAAAATTGCACGCGAATTGTATCTTCTACTAACCAATATTCTGGAAATAAATTAACTAATATTAGACTTCATTGTTGTGCTTTTTGATAAAAATTGCATTATTATTTCAGTTATATTATATAAAGATGAACATATTCTGTAATAATAAAGATTTCCAATTATAATAAAATTTTTATGCAAATAAAGTTGAATGAATAAATACGGAATGAATCTTAATTTTGATATGTCAGTCATTGCCCTCACTGGGATTGTAATGAAAAACATTTTCTGTTTGATAATGACGAATATATCTGAACATATTTTATCTAAATATAAACGACTTAATTTTGTGTACAAAGAAATGAAAGCTATCACGGAACCGGAGGACAAGTCGGACATTTTGCCCATGGGCAAACGCTCGGATGTTCAAGGTTCAGGAGTGAGAAAAATGCTACCTTAAACTGCTGGCCACTCGTCCTGCATTCCCGAAGAAGCCATCGAAGGCACTGCGGCTTTCCTTCACGTTCTCGTCGTATTTACATTTCTATGCACTTAATTGTGAATGAATAATGTAAGAGGTCCCCACAACTCCGCGAAGACGTTTTCTGTCTAAATTCAACACAAAAACCTTCTAAAATGAGACTTTCCTTGATTCCCTGCACTCACCACACTTGCCGAAATCACAATGAATTTCTTTGTTTACGTCTTTACGTCTATTTATCTTTTATCTAATGATGATTCAGATGATTGATGACTCCGGCTTATCCCACGCAGCTGATTGGCCGACCTCCTGACTTGGGCAATTTTTGCATATTGATGGCGGGAAGGGCACGTTTGGCATTGTAATAAATCACAGAGATTATTTTGCAATCACTGCGATCATTGCAATCAAAGCAATTCTTGAAAATCATAGCAATCATTGCGATCATAGCAATTATTGTAATCATTTTAATCGTAACAATCATTGCAATTATAGCATTAAAAATTTTCGTCAAAAAATAATTTTTTCAGACATATTGCTCTATTTTATTCATTCGGACTCGCTGTACTGTGTTCATGCAGAAGGAAGGTAAAACAACGGATATATGGTAAAAGATAACTTTTTTCTGAAAATATTTTCCCCCCGATAAAAATCAATCTATTATCCTGCTCTTTAAAAAGGTGGTAAGCACCTCTATATATTGCTATTTTTTATGCTTCCGCACTCGCAGGACACGATGAATGCAGGTAATACAACGGTCGGATATTTATATTGTAGAAATATCAAAACTTTTTCGTCCGAAGATAATTTTTCTGGGTTAACAGCAATAAAGAATTATTGTTCATTTATAAAATTTGAGGAAATTATAAAAATTCCTCCTTTAGTTTTTCTTAATTTGTTCGTTTGAATATGAAAAATATTTTCGCAAAAAAATTTTAGCCAGCCGCTTGAGCCGCTGGCCCGCTGCTATAAATATCAAGTCTTTGCCGCCGATTAAAAAGATTAAAAAAGACAGCTCAGTTAAAGTCAGCTGCCACCTAAATTTAGCTCATCAAAGACCTGTATCTTAAAAGAAAAATTTAAATTTTTCACTTGATTTTAAATTTATGCTTTTTTATAGTTTTAATGTGATATTTATTTATTTTTATAAATATTTTTTATTTTTAAAGTATATAATTGCAAATTTTATTAAAATTGCTATTATTTTTCTACTAAAAATCACATATTTAGAATTATTATAATTTTTTTTTTATTGTTGCTTATTTGTCCACATTGTTACATATATGTTGTTTTCATTCTTCTTTTGAAAACGATATTACTTAAGAAAAAGAGATTGTTGGACAAAAATGCATTGCCACAAGCAAAAATTTTGCTAAAACTTACGAGATCAAAAATACCCCATCCGCCGCAGTAAATATATTTGTATTTAATATGCTTAGTGGTTTATTACCGTTTTGCGCTTCCCGCCGTTAATATGCAAAAATTTTCCCAGCTAGTCAGGAGGTCTCACCCCTGAACGTCCGAACGATTGCCCATATGGGCAAACCGGCCGTGCGGCGCATGGTCAAAATTCAAAATCTCTCACCTCCGGTTCTGTGTTAAAACATACGATTTATACTTATTCAGTTTAAATTTGGCTTTCACGGATACATCAAAATTTATCATGGTACATCATATAAATAGCAAGAGTAATAAAACTTCTTTTTAATTTTAATACAATTTAAAATAAGCAGCAAGGCATTCATAAATAAATTATTAATACATTCATTTCTTGATGGCTCTAGCGGCCGGAACGCTCTCTTTGGAAGGAGAGGGTCCTGTGCTTTTGCAAGTTGTTTGCTAGCGAAAAGCCATTTCTCCATTCACCGCCAATTAACAGTATGTGCGTCTTTTAAAATGTATTTTCAGCTTTTTCTGTACTATTGTGTATAGTTTTTTCCGCGTATTTATGGATCATGACTGTATTGAATGGAGAATAAATAAATAAAAATAATTAAATCAAATGGCATTCAATCTATTTCAATCAAGCAAAATATGCGGTCCGAGCGCAACTACTATTTAAACATTTTTGCGCATTAAATTAAACAAAAGAGTCTGGGAAAAAATATTGGAACGTGCTCATTTATAATTTCTGAAATTTATTTTTAATCATCAAGAGCCATATTTAGTGACTATTTGCTAAATCAAACACTCTTCATTTATTTATTTATGTATTCTCCATTCAGATACAATAAGAAATATATACAACATCTTACATCAATTCAATACACAAAATTTAAAACGCAGAAACTCATGGATAAATGTTTTAGAGTAGACCTATTTTTCTTTTTTACTACGAGATGGAAGAAAAAAAATTCTAAGTATTGAGTGATGGTGTACCAACATAAATAGGACACATGGAGGTAGCTTTATATTATTAAATCTATGTAGTACATAATAATGTAATATGTACCTGTGTACTTTTGCCGAGATCGATCACGCAAACCAAACAAACGTACGTGTAACGCCCGTGGGCAGGGCATGCAATAAAACGAGTTTTTTTGTTGCAATTTTTGATTATATAAGCATACTTCCGAGAGCATAAATACGCCGATAGCCGCGCTCTTCATTGCTGCATGTAATAGGCACGCTCCCCTGTTCATGTGCCGTGTGCCCTAATAAATTCAAAACACGGTACCCGAGTGACATTGACCCACTTTCCAGCGACATGCAATTACCCATTATTACAGCATTACACCACATCCCCCAGGTTTGCTGCATAAAAGCCGCACTCCCATCTAAAACTCCATCTCGCTTAAAATTTCATATCACAAACATGGCAGTTTTGAGGCTTGTCAGATTATAAATGATTTGTTTTGTTCCAAAAAATTCTTAATTGTCACGAGTGTTCTGAATTTATGAAAAAAAATATCGCTGCTTATTAAAATTAAGAAATTATGAATTTCACTGCAGATTAAAATTTTTAGAAATTCAAGACCAACGCTCTTGACAAATAGTCTCGAAGAAAATTCCATATTTTTTAAATCCTTTGATAGAACGTTCCAAAATAATTGATAATTATAACAAAACAAATGCGGCTTGTTTAAGACAAAGTAATTTTGTAAAATTTTATAAATACTATGTTTTTTTTTTAAGTAAAGTAATGCAAAATAGACATCGATTTTTTTTAAAGAAAATTTTGGAATGCTTTTATTTCAGATTGATCTCAAAAGTTTATATTCGTCAACCTTGGGTATGAAAATAAAAATTTTCTCTTCGTTCATACTCCACGTGCCGTTAATAGTTTATGGGGAATTGAGCTTCACTCACCTTCTATCAAAACAATGAGCGAGAGAGAGAACAATTATTATCGGAGTCGTGTGAAGCCTAGCGCACACTTTTGCTCTAGCCTGCTGCTTCATTAGCGCGAAACGTCAGAGAGGAACACAATCTTAAGTTGGGCGCGCACAACTAGTCGGCGAGCGTGCAGTAAATCACGGTGAACGTGTGTTTCAACCACACTCGATTGCATCACGGAGTCGCACTAATGAAGCTGTTAGTTTGCAAATGAGGAGTGCTCGCGCCGGAACAAATTTAAATGTGTCGCCGCCGCTCGGTTCAAACAACTCGTTTCTTAATTTGCCGCGCGAGAAGTGCGCGTCTGTTATTACGGTCGTTCAAGTGCAGCCATTCGGCGCAAATGGACGGTTTCGAAAGTATGCAACCTGCACGTCTTTGTTGCTTAACTAGTTGCATCGTCAGTTTTTAAGGCGTTTATATCATAAAATAGAGGAATTGAAGAAAATATGTGAATATATTTTAAACTAATAATTAAATGAAGAACTAGAATTTACTTACTTTCTCAGTTCATAAAAAAGTTTAAGCTTAAATTAAGATGGATTAAACGAAAATATCAAAATTAAGCATTACTGCTGATTATTATGCAATGCATTTACCACAGACATACAAATATATATATTTACATATTTTTTTTTCACATATAGTTGCAAATTGTGTTTATTAATGTACCACCGGGCATCCTCTTCCTAAATACATCATCCACACATTCAATATTATAAATTACATTTATATGGAACGTAAAAATTTTTTGTTAAACCCAGAAGTATTGTAAATTTACGTATTTAATTTATTTAATAAGCATTTTTGAATAATCTGTTAGATGGTTAAATTTGTATCTCACATTTCCTTTTCATACCACTTCAATTTAATTATTTTTCTTATCTTATTGCTTTCTACTCAATTCTTTATAAATTTATCAAACGAAACTGGCAACATAATTTGTCGTCTTTTTTTTTTGATAAATCTATTATATTTTTAATTACAAATAAATGCGGAAATCATAAGAAATTTTTCCCATCTCTTTGTGTGAAAAAGTGTGAATGTATCTCTACATTTCTTCAAAAATATTGCAAAGAAATGAAGAGTGGTTTTTATTTGTCGGCTGATCTCGGTGTTATAGCGATGATTATGAACGTAGGAGGCACAGAGGAATTTTCATTATTAAAAAGCAGCGAAATGTCTGATGGAACGAGGAGCACAATGGGTTTTGATTCTGCGGCCCGGCTGTCTCGGCGCCTTGAGGATTGTTTTGTGCGCTGCGGAATTCCTATTGAGCGTGTGGACGAAAACGCTGCTCAAATGAATTTCGGGCTCATTTTTCAAAAAGTGGCGTCGACCCGCTTTCTCTTTCTCTCGTGTCTTTTATGCGCCCTTTAATCCCCAAACGCCGCAACGCCTTTTGTGAATTGCGCTCGCGAATAAAAATTGCTGCCGCCGCCGCGAGACCTTGGATGAAAAAGAACCCGTTACGGAGCATCTTTGTGCGGCGGCGGGTATGTGCCAAGTGCAATTCTAGACCAGAAAGGAATCCCGTTTCGGGCGCAAAGACAAAAGTGCCGTATTCAAATTACATGCACGCGTCCGCCATTTTTTCTTCTTCCTTGAGACTCTACTCGATCTCTCTTTGCACGCCCACCTTTTGTCCCCTTTGTCACTTGACGCACACGCACCTTTCTTTCTTTTGTATCGTTTTTCTTTTTTCATGCAGATACGTATTGACGTGACATTTGATGGAGACATGTGTGATTACATGAATGTAGTCCTAGATGTATTCAGGAGAACCTAAAATGTACAAAAAGGAAAAAGCATAACAAAATCAATATCGTTTTATATGGTGCAATTTTTTTATTTTAAAAATAT